ACAGCAACAAGGAGAAGGAAGGGAAGGGAAGGAAGGAAGGATCATTGAAGATGTTACCTAGTTGAGTAATAAAACGTCTGCACGAAAACCACCAAGCTCAGAGAGCACCAATGACTCCACAGTCCTTGTCCACCGCCTCCACTTACACTCCGCACACCATTCTTCCTCCTAGCACTGATGCTGTTACCTAGCACAGTAATAAAACGCCTGCAAGAAAACAGCCCAGCTCTGAGAGCGCCAAGGACCCTCCACGCCAACCCTGAGCTACAAACAATTCTCCTTTATTAGCCTTCATCAAAACCAGACCACAAGGTTCCGACTTGTTTTGGCTCCGAGTCGGCCGTTCCAAGTTCCTGACTCTTGAGGACATTTGGTGGGCGTTCCAGAGATGCCAATTTCTGCCGTTTCTTCAAGACGGCCCCTTTTCTTGTTTTCTCCTGGCTGGGGTCCCCCACCCCCATTGCAGGCACAAAACAGAGGCTGACTTGTTTGGGGTTTTGACTCAGTCCTTCCTGGCCTCTGCCACCCCACACCCATGCTGGCAGGCCCTGACATTGCAAGCCCTTGTTCTTTGCTTGTGGCTCTTTGTGATGCGAGGTGGTGTGTGGGCGACAGCAAGTTGGCCGCACAGGCCCTCTCTTGTGCTTTTGTGTTGTGCGGTCCTCCGCCTCCCTTCCCGATTAAAACTCCAGCCTTGTTGAATCACAGGCGGTGGGTTAAATCGAGACTCCTTTTCTCTGGAGCCCCCTGGTGTCCTTAACAAGGTGTGTGTATGTGTGTGTTTTTCCCCCTAGAGTTGACGGGTGAGGAGATAGATGAGGAAGAGGAGAAGGAGGAGAAGAGGAGGAGATTGCTCCTCTATCTACTTCCTCCTGCTCCTTGTTTATCTCCTCCTCTTTATCATCTAAGAGGAGGAGATAAACAAGGAGCAGGAGGAAGTAGGTAGAGGAGCAAGAGGAGGAGGAGATTACAAGGACAGGGGACACTGTCAACATGCTAGTAGCATCCACATCAGTGTAAAGCCTGCGGAGGTCCATTGTGTCATCTCTGAGGCTTTCCAACACAGCGCCAAGCCCTCGGATTGGCAGCCAAGGAAGTCATCTCAAGGTACTGGACCTCCTCCCCTCCCTCTGGCACATTCACATGGATGGTTGGACTTGCAGAAGACGACTTTGGTCGTCGACTGCAATGTACTCCTTGAATGGAGTGTCTCGTTTCACCCACAAGAACGGATGGATGAACGTCAGCAATTCAGCGGGATAAGATGGTAGCTCTGGTGGGTGGTCCTCAGCTGGACTTCGGAGCACTTTTGTAGTCTAGAAAGAGTGCAAAAAAGATTGTGGGGACTATAGGTTAAAACCATACGATGTGGCAGGAACTAGATATGTCCAACCTAGAAATAAGGAGAAACATCCTGATAGCGAGAAGAAACAACCATGGAACAGAAGTTGCCTTCAGGAGTTATGGGTGCTCCATCACTGGTGGTTTTCAAGAAGAGACTGGACAGCTATTTGTCCAGGATGGTATGGGGTCTCCTGCGCAAGCATGGGATTGGACTAGGTTAGAAGTTCTATGTTGAGATGTTGATGCCATAGAAATAGTGCAGAGAAGAGTATCTAAGATGATGGTCTGGAGGCTACACCATATGATGGACAATTGAGGGAGCTAGGTAGGTCTACCCATCGAACAGAAGGACTAGGGGGTGGCATGATAGTCTTGCAATAGTTGAGGGGCTATCATGGAGAAGAGAAGGTTGACCGATTCTCCAAAGAACCTTGAAGGCAGGACAAGAAGTAACGGATGGAAACTAATCAAGGAGAGAACCAACTTTGAGAAAAAGGAGACATTTCCTGACAGTGAGAACAAGTGGAACGTCTTGCCTTCAGAAGTTGTGGATGCTTCCATCACCGGAGGTTTTAAAGAAGAGATTGGATATCCATTTCTCCAGAATGGTGTAAGGTCGCCTTCTTGAAGGGGTGGTAGAAAGCCTCCAAGGTTCTTCCCAACTCTTATTATTTTGTATTCTGCACATTAATCACTTTGTCCGGGATACAAACATTATAAAATCAGTAGTTCTCTAACAGCTTACATCACAAGATATAAGGAGACTGACCGGAAATGCTTTAGTTACAGAAAGTATTAGACTAGCTGACCAACTGTGGCTTCTCTGTTCTAAGACGACGGTAACTGGACTCCATTATATCAGGAAAGGCTAGGAAATATGCACTACGCGCATCTGATAATCCTAGGAGAAAGAATAGCTTATTTGGTAGACTCAGGTCTTCAACAATTTCACTTCCCAAACTATTTACCCAACATTCACTACTGTTTATTTTTTATTTTTTGCTTTTGTGGCTAGTAGTTCTCACTGGCCTTGAGTGAGAACTCAACGGTGGAAGGATTTCATTTCATGTGTACCATTGTTGTTATCATCTCCGTTCATTCCCAAAGGTGCTTTTTTTTTTTCAAGAGGCAACTGGACTTTCTTGTTTTTTTCTTTGAAGACATTTCACTTCTCATCCCAGAAGCTTCTTCAGCTCTGACAGGATGGTGGGGAATGGGAGGATTTATACTCCTTGCAGACATCTGGTCATTTGCATTCTTTTAGAGTGTCGTTGAGGCCACTTGGAGGTTTGTCTGTGTCCTCAGGGTCACCTGAGTGGTTCAAATGGGTGGGGAGCCTTCTTGGAGCCGCTGAAAGGACTGAGTTGTAGACTGGAGGTAGATGATGTTGTATCCCTCCTTCTCTGTTGAGAGAGGCCTGTTCAGTTGGGCTCTTGGACCCCTCCTTCAAACCAGGTGATGCAAATGACAAAGACAAACCTCCAAATGGCCTCAACGACCCTCTAAAAGGATGCAAATGACCAGCTGTCTGCAAGGAATATAAATCTTTCCATTTCCCACCATCCTAGTCAGAGTTGAAGAAGCTTCTTAGAGGAGAAGTGAAATCTCTTCCAAGAAAAACCAGAAAGTCCAGTTGCCTCCTGATAAAGGACCTTTAGGCCAACCATGACCTGGAGGATCGAAGATCTCCTTGATTGGTGACCTACAACTCAATGATTGATCCAGGAAGGACAAAATAAAGGTCGTCCTTGACTTACGATCCCACTTGAGCTCAACACTCCTGTCGCTAAGCAAGACCGTTGCTAAGTGAGCTTCGCCCCATTTTGCAACCTTTCTTGCCCCAGCTGTTCAGTGAATCGCTGCAGTGGTTTAAGTTAGTCCCACGGTCGTTAAGTGAATCCGCCTTCCCCATTGCCATGGCTTGTCGGAAGGTTGCAAAAGGGGATCGGGTTTAACCGTCATAAATACGAGTCCGTTGCTGAGTGTCTGAATTTCGATCCCGTGACCACGGGGATGCAATGATTGTAAGTGGGGGGAAAAAGGCTCATTTTTTCAGTGCCGTTGTAAACTTTGAGCGGTCATTAAATGAAGGACTGTGAATCGAGGGTTACCTGTAACAGGCTGGAGATAGAGGTGACCCCCAAATGAACTCCAGAGTAAATAAGTTGTATTTTCCTGGCCTTGAGAATATGCTGATCTTTTTCTTTTTTCTTTTGGACCCAAAATCAAAACTCCCAACTTCTCAACATATCTTTATGGTGTCTTCTGTGTGGTTTGGAGGCAAATTCCTTCTCCTTCCCGGATCCCCTGGGCCCACGATGAAGAAGGCCTGGGAACTTCTCAAGTACCGTTTTGAAGGCGTGATCGCAGGGGTGGGATTCAAAAATCCCAGCAACCGGTTCGCTGCCCGGGTTGCTGGGTGGGCGTGGCCTACCAGAACTTCTGGGAGGCCCATTTTTCGCCTTCCCCAGAGTCCGGAGGCTTCCCTCGGGCCTCTGAGAGGGTGAAAACAGCCTTCCCCAGGCTCCAGAGGCCCTCCGGAATCCAGAAACAGGCCCATTTCTGGACTTCCGGAAGCTGCATTTTTCGCCCTCTTAGTGTCAACTAAAAAAATGCTCCTTTGGTCTTCTTAGTTGCCAGCAGAAAGGGAGTGGGAGAAAGCAGTGCCTTCCTTAAATGCCTCAGATAATCGCCTTGGTAGCCGAAGCTGTTGGCCCGCAAGATTATTACTGGAGAGCATGATCGATGACTCTTGGCTATGGATGTGTCTCATCCAGGGAGTGGGGGGGAAGACCAGGGTCAAGGGGGAAATGAATGATGTGTCAGAGTCGGCTGCAACCGGGAAATGCCAACATGTCAACTCCTAATAAATCAATCAATTTTACTCTGAGGGATGCAGCTGGAGACTTGTGATTTGAATGGGGGTGCATGTTGGAGCCCTGACACGCAGAGCTTCCACGCGGACCCTGCACTTATCTGCATCCAAAATAGGCCGTATGGAAGGGGGAGGGGAGGAGAGGCCAGTTGGTCGGTTCAGCTACCGGTTTGGCAAACCAGGTGTTGTAAATGTAACATCCGGTTTTCCCAAACCAATCCGAACTGGCTGAATCCCACCCCTGTGTGAATGTTGGAAAAGCGCATTGTCTCCCACACCTGTTCTGCCTTTGTCTTCCATCCCCATCGTCCTCATCCTTCTCTTTGTTCCTCAGTGACTCAGCACATTAAAGATCTTCTGGAGAGAAACAGTAAGAAGAAGTCCAAATTGAGAAAAAAACCCAAACCTTATGTTGAAGACCACGATGGTAGGGCGTGAGAACCAAACCTTCCTTTAGCAGCCTCTTCTCCTTAGTCTAGTCCACAGCTTCCCTTTGTTTTCTGCAGCTTCTTAGTCTCTGCTTGGTCTCCCCATAACACGGCTTCATTCTTCTCCTAGCTGCTAATTTGGGGGGGCGTCTCTACAGCCTGATTTTGGGGGGAACCTACTGCTAATCACGTTTTCCACCAACACCTACTGACTTTGGTCCAACATTCTTTTGCTCGTGGTCAAGGCTGGCTCTGCCACAGGTTGCCCTCTGCAAGTTGTCCTCCTATCTCACTGGGGAGTCAGGAATCTGGAAGTCGAGGGTTGTAAGAGGAAATAGCAGTTTTCCTAACCAGGAAGGGGGGCGGGCCTCCTTCCATTTGTCCGTCGTCTGCGTCATGCCAACATACCTGTGATGTAGGTTCATGGGCGACCTGGGTGCACACGCTGAACCTGTAGCCCCAATGCGGGATTGACTGCAAGATAAAGTAATTTATGGAACGCAGGGTTACCGTGGAACCAGTGGTGCTGTGATGACCTGGGGCGTGGCACAAAGGCAACACAGTCAGATAATTGCTAGGAGTCCCTTTATTAGCTCCAACTTTGCCCCCAATGTCCCGGTTACCTTTTGGCTGGGGGAAAAACTCTTCCCAGGAACAATCTTTGACTGCAGAGAATCAAGTCCAAAATGTGGTCAATAAAAACTGTAACTTAAAGTCCAATCAAGGCAAAATGAGGTAATTAGTCTGGCATGGCAGGAGCAAGTATTCCAGACCTGAAGGAGTGGCAATAACTCAACACGGTTGGGAGGATGTCAAGAACACAGGTAACCAAAGTCAATACAAAATAAACTCAAGTTTTCTCCCAGCAGCGGCCGCACTCAGCATGCATCTCTTTTAAACTCTTCCCAGATGTGCCTAATGAAGGGAATCAGGGCCCATTCCTCCCCCGTAAGCCTTGCAACACATGTTGCTCTCTTCTCCGTTCCTCCCTGCATGCCCTAGGATGAAGAGGGGATGGGCCTAGGTCTTCCTCTGAACTCCCTCTCCCTTGTTCTACCTCTCCCCTGCTTTGCCCAGCCAGACTTTGCCGTTCCTCAGTTTCCCCCACAGCCAATGGAGCCACACTCCTGCTCCCTGTCAGCTAGTCATCTTCGTCTTGGGATTCAGACTCTGACAGGGGCACGACAAATGCGATTCAACTGGCGTAAGAATTGATTTGGCGATTGCGTGCTTCACGCACATGCCCACCTTTTAAAAAAGCCCATTTTCAGTTATAATACTTACCTTCCACTGCAGCCCCATGAGTAAAACAGCTGAGGCATGGCAAAAACCACTCTGCCGCGCAAATCAGCTGCGCTCCAAAACAAGGAAATAAAGCCCAGGAAAGAGCAGGGGTGGGCGGGCGGGGCTAAACGATCACCAGAACTACTAGTTCACCCGAACTGATCCGAACCGGTAGAATCCCACCCCTGCCTGGAACCCATATTATGACTGCAAAGTCTGATGGGCCGTGACCCAGCTAACGGCAACCCCCTTAAGCACGGGTCTCCAAACTTGGCGACTTTAAAGCCTATGGACTTCAATTCCCAGAATTCCTCAAAATGCTGGCTGGGGAATTCTGGGAGTTGAAGTCCACAAATCTTGACCACGACCCTGTTAGGTATTTCAGCGTCCTGTGAAGACAAAGAGAGCAGAGCTTGGAGGACTCTTGCAAAGGGCAGCTGTGGTAGAGACGAGGGTGGGGGCAATGTTTGAGTGTCCACCTGCCTGGGCAAAGGTTGCGTGTCCTGGCCAGAAGAAAAGGTTCAAGGGCCTAGCTCACCGCCCTTAAGGTAAGAAACGGATCTGGCATAATAGAGGTGTCACCTTTCTGTCTTTGGTCCGAGTTGGAGCCACAAGGGTCCTCTAGAACTCGCAGTGAGGTCTCACCATGCGTGACGTCACTGTCGCCCTCCGAGGAGGTCCATGGAGGGTGGTAGTTGCTTCAGAAGATCTCCCAACTCTAGGTTACGTCAACAAGCGATGTTCCAGCTGAGCATCCTGGATGAGAAGATCTCTCTCTCTCTCTCTCTCTCTCTCTGGGAGTCCCTAGGTGCTCTCTGGAGCTTGGAAGTTTCCTTGCAGACGTCTCATGGCCCAACTAGATAACACCATCGAGGCTAGGAGAGAGTAGGGTTGGGTCTTGGGTGCTTTCTGAGAATGGTTGTTTTCTTGCAAGCATTTCATGACCCAACTAGGGAACATCCTCAGTGCTAGAAGAGAGGGAGGTTGGGTCCTGGGAGGTCTCTGAGCTTGGTTGTTCTCTTGCAGACGTTTTATGACCCAACTAGATAACCTCATCAGTGCTAGAAGGGAGTAGGCTCGGGTCCTCTGCATTTTCTGAGCTAAGTTGGCTTCCCCCCACCCCCCCACCCCGCCCAAAGTTTCACGATCCAACTAGGGAACATCATCAGTGCTAGCTATGTTTTCACCCTCTGGACAAATGCTTAGAAGAAGGCCAATCTGTTTGAATGAATGGAAGAGAGGTGTTGTACAAAGTTCAGAAGCCCCTTTGAGTTGTGTTGGAAGCTTCCAACCGTCTTAACAGGCAGGACATAAGAATTTAATTGATGCACAGATGTCACTGAGTATATAATGCAATGGCAACCTGATGCATGTGACATCATGGCACCTTCCAGATTTCTATTAGCATTGAGTATTTTGGGTTTTGTCTTCTGTTTTGACCCACTCGGCTGTTGGGTCCGCAAGCAGAACATTAACCAAAATACAGTTAATTCTCAACTGACCACAATTGATCCCAACTTTTCCATTGCTAAGTGATTTAGTTGAGTTTTGCCCCATTTTACGATCTGTCTTGCCACCGTTGTTTTGTGACCCCCTAGGAAGCAAAGTCAACGGAGAAGCCAGATTCATTTAATGACCGTGTTGCTAACTGAACAACTCCGGCGGTTCATTTAATGGTGGCAAGAAATGTCATAAGAGGATGCTAAATTAACTTAACAACTCAAGGTTGACTCAGCCTTCCGTCCTTCCATGGTGGGTAAAATGAGGTCTCAAATTGTTGGGGAGCAGGAGGCTGACTCTGTAAACCGCTTAGAGAGGGATAGAAAGCACTGTGAAGCGGCATATAAGTCTTAAGTGCTATTGCTATTTCACTTAGCAACAGAAATTTTGGGTGCCATTGTGGTCGCAAGGATGCAATCTGCCTTTTGCAGACAGACCCGTTTTACAACAGATCCAAATGCAAAATAGATAGATAGATAGATAGATAGATAGATAGATAGATAGATAGCAAAAATCCTGATTTTAGCATCCATCTCCAGGGGTTTGTCTCCTGGAAAGCTGGGTCTTTCTATCCAGGAGTGTCTGAGGTGGGTGAGAGGAGCATAAAAAAAATATTAAATGACTTTTTTGACCTACCTCGCCCCGCATTCCTGACATTCCTGCCCAGCTTATTTCGGCCCAATGGACATCTTCCCCATAAAATAAGGGCTGATTGGAATATTTGGCAAAGCCGAGTGGCGGCCGCTGAAAGCGCATTTATTAAAATTCTGCCTGCGTACGCCTCACACGCTTAACGTGGCTGCTAATTTATCCCTTTGGAGGGTTTCCTTCCATGCAAGAAAATCAAGGTTAAAATTAACCCTGCGTAGCATATAAATAGTAAATTGCAACTGGGAAGAGGGAAACGAAGATCAGAAGCTCGCTCAGAGTGGTGTTCTCCTTGCCCAAAGGTGGTGTTTTTTTTTTCTTTCTTTCCAAGAGTCAACTGGACTTTCTGGGTTTTTCTTTGAAGACATTTCGCTCAGTAGTGGGTTCCTACCTTGGTTCCTACCGGTTCGGTGGGAGATTGCGCGTGCACGTCCTACACATGTGCATGTGCCCCTCCAATGCACCAATCTGCGGAGAGGATGAATTAACGAAAAGCTAGGAGTGACCCACCTATATGCGCTTGTCGCTTCTTTTATCCTCTGAGTTGATCGTTGGAGGAACTGGTTCGGCTGAACTGGTAGTTATTTTTACTACCAGTTCGGCTGAACCAGTCTGAACCGGTAGCATACCACCACTGGTTTTGCTTCTCGTCCCAGAAGCTTCTTCAGCTCTGACAGGATGGTGGGGAAGGGAAGGATTGATACTCCTTGCGGACAAAGCTGGTCATTTGCATCCTTTTTAGAGGGTCGTTGAGGCCACTTGGAGGTTTGTCTGTGCCCTCAGGGTCACCTGAGTGGTGCAAATGGGTGGGGAGCCTTCTTGGAACTGCAGAAAGGACTGTGTGGTGGAGCTGTGTTTTCTGCAGGATGTTTTTTCTCTGCTCTGTGTCACGTCACTGTTGAACACAGGTGAAGGCTATTGGGGACGAGTCTGTGTTGTCTCCATCTCAAACGGAAGTACAAATGGTTCCTGTAGCGTAGTCTGCAATTTTTCTGTAGACTACAGGAAAAACAAAAAATCCCATTTGCACTATTCAGGTGACCCTGAGGACACAGTCCCAAAGGTGTTGTTGTTTTTTTTCCCCAAGAAGCAACTGGACTTTCTGGTTTTTCTTTGAAGAAATTTCGCATCTCATCCAAGAAGCTTCTTCAGCTCTTCAAAGAAAAACCGGAAAGTCCAGTTGCCTCTTGCAAAAAAAGCACCTTGACCTGGAGGACTGAGAATCTCCATAGACCTGAGGACACGGACAAACCTCCAAGTGGCCTCAGTGAGCCTCAAGACTTGGTGGTCCTATCTGGGCCAAGGCTAGTTGTTCCCAGGTTGTTAGTTGTAGCTCTCCTGAATTTGAAGTTAATGGGCCAGAGTGTGTTCATAGCATTCAGGAGGAGGCAGAAGAAGGAAGTGCCACCTGGCCAAGAGTTGACTTGATGGGACTCCAGAGGACGCTGCTGAGATGGGATCTTCTGTAAGCCTAATCTTGACCCCCCCCCAGGGGCCCTTCTTGGGTAGGGACTTCAGGAAGATGCTCAAGAAAGATGGGGAAGAGGGTCTGCTTGCCATGGGACCTCTTGTGCAGCACACCTCTCTGGTTGCGCGGCTTCTTCTCGGTCAGCTGCTTGGGTCTCTCTCCTCTTTGCCTCTTCCTCCTGGGTGGCGGCTCATGAATTGTCTTTGCTCTGACTTTCTTTCTCTTTTCCTTTCTCCTTCCTCCTTTCTCTCTTGTAGGGGTGGCGGTAAGCACTTACGCCAAGTATTGCTACAGCAAGCTCCAGAAGGCAGCGTTGACTGGCGCCAAGAAGGTATTTTCCCCTCCTCTCTTCTTTTGCGTCGTCTTTCGAGGTGGCCTTGGGAGACCAGAGCTGGTAGCTAAATGATCATGGGAACACATTTGGGGGGGGGGGTTGGTTCAAAGTTGAAAGCCTCTCCCAAGAAGTTGCAAGCATCTCCCAAGACGTTGGAAGCCTCTCCCAAATCTTTACCTTGAGGCATGAGCCAAGACATCCAACTCAACCTTCTGGCCCTTGTCCTTTTGCCCGAGAGGGGAAAGTTGGTGGAGAGCTTCCTGTCCAGACAATATTTTGCTTACCAACATTTTTTCCTCAAGGAGGAAAATAAGGTGCAGGAGATTTGAAGGATTATGTGATGACCCGGGGCATGGCACAAAAGCAACCAAGTCACAAAAAATAGGTTAAAAGTCCCTTTAATACCTCTAACTTGGCCCCCAATGTCCAGTTATCATTGGCTGGAGAAAAGAAAACTCTCCCAAGAACAGTCTTTAAAGGGAAGAAATTCAGTCCGAACCCAAAATACATTTAAATTATAAATAAAAACCAACACAAACCACAGCTGCAGCAATTAATGAGACAAGGCAGGATAAGGAATTGCAGACTCCAAAAGACAATGAAACACACACAGTTGGGGAGGACGCCAGACCCCAGATAAGCCTCGACAAACAAATATAATTCACACTTTGCTTCCAGCAAGATGCTGTGCGCAAAAGCCCTTTTAAAATCCTGTTTTCCCAGCTGCAGCTAATGAAGGGAATCAGGGCCCTTTTCTCCCCCGTAACTCACCTTGCTCCCTTCTCCGTTCCTCCCTGCGTGCCCTAGGATGAAGAGGGGGTGATCCTGGGTCTTCCTCTGAATGCCTAGCCGGATTTGCCCTTCCCCCATTTCCTCCACAGCCACCGGAGCCGCACTCCCTGTCAGTTGCTCAATCTCCCCCTCGGAATCAGATTCCAACAGGGGCATGACAGATTTTAAGAGGACATGGAGAACTCCAGAATTGGGGAGGCCATCAAAATATCCCCGCAATGGTGGGATTTAGTGTGTTTGTTCAATACGTACAAGCAGCCAGGGGGGTGAGATTCCACCGGTATAACAACCGGCCACACCGCATTTGAAAAAGATCTAATACTTACCTTCTACTGCAGCCCCTGTGAATAAAACTGCTGTGCGAATCCGCCGTGCTCTAAAAAAAGGAAATAAAGCCCAGTAAAGCGCATGGTCAGGCAGGTGGGCCCACATACTCATCGCAGTGAACTGGTTCGGGAGCCAGCTGATCATTGGAGCAAACCGGTCCGAACCGATAGAATCCCACCCCTTGCAAAGCAGCTGTCTCAAGGCGTGTGTGTGACTCTGGGCAGCTCATGAGGTCTAAAGAAAACAAAGCACTCCTAAAAGAAAAAAAAACCCACTAGAAATGAACGAAAGCAGCTAATACAGCAAATGGCCATTAACCACGAAACCTAAAATGTAGGAAGTCAGCAGATGAGAGCCACCTCAACACCTTCAAACCTTCAAGGGATCTCCGTGTCTAATAACAAGCCAGCAGTCTTCTTCGGGGTCCTCTAAAAAGGCCGATAGGTCTTGTGCCAGACCTCGAAAGGGGTGGCTGGGTGTTGAGTCCATGCTTGTGGCCTCCATCTTGATATTTTCAACCCACCTCTTGCAGATGCTCCTGGGCATCCAGAATCGGGTGCCCCAACGAGAAGGAAGGGGCTGGGCAGAAAGCAGGAAAAGACTCTCAGTTAGGTAGTGCCAATAGAAGAGAATATTTGTAGTTCGGGGTTGAATGGTGGGGTCCTTGGTGTTCTCCGCACTTGGTCGTTTTCTTGCAGACGTTTCCTAACCCACCTAGGTAACGTCATCGGAGGTAGGAAGGGGTGGGGTCTTCCGAAAGGAGGAGGAGGAGGAGGACTGTGGAGTCCTTGCTGCGCTCTGAGCTTGGTTGTTTTCTTGCAGACGTTTCGTGAGCCATCATCAGTACGAGAAGGGGGTGGGGGTTTGCAGAATAGGGGAAGGGGAGAAGAAAGAGGATGTTATTATGCTCGTAATATTAATTTTTAAAACTTACATGTCACCTAACTCACCATGACTCTGGGTGGCTCACCCTAATTAAGCAAAGAAATTACAACATCAATCTAATTCACCTTCTCTATTTTTTCTGCAAGCAATTCTTTTGAAAGCATACCTTGCAAGTAGATATTTGTCAAACATGTATATTCTGGATGGATGGATGGATAGTTAGGCAGATAGATAGATAGATAGATAGATAGATAGATAGATAGATAGATAGA